CTACGAGGCGGGATCTGGGAGGGACTGCTACGTAGGCGGGGATGGGAACAGTGGCAAGCAACCGAGGACAAGGGTGAGTATCGAGCTGAGCCGGAAAGCCCCAGAGGAAGCGCCTTGGGGAATGAAGTCGTTATGAGCTATGGCGATGGCTATGCCGGAGAAGATCCTGAATTTCTTTTCTCTGTTCACATAGACAAAAGGTGGCTGGCCTCTGATCCGCAGCTCTGCGTCTCATCCTTCTTCTCCTCCAGGACCTCGTCCTTGTTCTTTGCGTTCTCTTCTTCTCCCCCTCCTACTCCCCCCGTGCTTCCTTTCGTTCTTTCCATGACCAGAAGCCAGTTGTCTCCTGCACGGAAAGGCGGTTTGAGATAGTAGAAACCAAGTGGATCTTCTTAGTGGCGAGGAGAACACAAAAATGCCCGCGCGAGAGCTAGCCCGAGAGTCGTCTACCGAAGACGCTTGCGAAATTGCGATCCACGAAGTCTGCGCTGAAAGTTTGTGCAAGTTTTGGCAATGCCTGTTACTTGATCTTCTTCAGTGCTGTCAGCATCCTTGGTTGCGGTGCGAGATTGGTCTTGTGAGGATCTGCTTTTGAACCTCTGCTCGGTGAGGTATCACTTGGCGAGGTTTTTCTCTTTGAGAGGAATCCGATTTGCTTTGAGTGTCTTTGCTTGGTCGCGCATACCAATTTCAATACAGTCAGAGCTACAACCAGGGCACTGAGGGCAGGACTCAGAAACGTGGCGGAGCGGCGCAGGAAGAAGGTTCTACCGTGCAATCTGTACAGTAGTTCCTTCCCTGGGTTATTTTTTTGGTCTTTGATTTTTTTTTTTGGAAATCTTACATGATTAATTAATTAATTGAATTAGGGACTACGGGGAGTATGGAAGTATATAAGGAAGGGGGAGTAGAGTAGGAACTTACCTCAGTCTGAGTGGCGAATGTGTTGATGGATTGAGAACCTCGACGGTGTGAAGTTGGGGAGATGCTGGGAGGATGGTGATTTCGCCATGATAGTAAAACTCATGTCACCTTCTTCTTTATTGTGTTCCATTTGTGATTCTTGATGGTAGAGAGCCCTAGGCTCGACCTTGCCGTGGCCTGGGAACGAGCTTAGGGTGCCGACTTAAACTTATGTTGACATTGTTGAGTCGTGCTTGATACTTTATTTCCGGTTGTATTTTGTATTTTGTATTTTGTATTCTGTATTCTTATTCTTATTCATATTCTTATTCGTATTCATTCGCATTATTCGCATTATTCGCATTATTCGCATTTGTATTTGCTTTTAAATTCGCGTTTCGATTCGCGTTGGTTGTCGCAATTGTATTGAGGTATGTATTGAAGTATGCGTTAAACTTTGTCGATCAGATAGCTTTGCGTATGTGGGTCTGTTATGCGCTCATTTACGCGGCACTGATTCGCTTCTTTCGATTGGTTGATTATAGTTTCACCTGCATTCTCTTCCTCTTATCCCTATCGCCTCCGGATTGTTCTCGACCGACTCGTATCGCGGTGCATCCGAAGAACACCGCGGCGCACGTAGTGGTGCTCCCTTACTTTCCCGATAAGCGATTGCCGGGATTCAAGGGACCAGTTCGTTGATACACACACTACGTGTACAGTCGGAGGGCCGATCCAGCCACCGGTGCCACGTTGGCTCATCGCCACGCAGGGGATCCTGTGCGCATCCGGCAAGGGCGAGTGCATGGTGATCTGCGTGAACTGGCGCGAGGTTACACTTCCGAGTACTGTCGAAGCAAAGTGGGTGATTGGTTTCATTGTGAGCTGCGGGCTCGTCTGCGGCATTGCTATCGGCCGCATGACCGGACGAGGGCGAGGGAGCAAAGCCGGTGGACGTCGCGGATGGTGGTCCAACGACGGGCGTTATTGGATGGAGAATAACGCCGGAGGGAGTAGTGCTCAAGCCAACCCCGCTGCCTATAATGTGCCAGCTCAAGTATACCCACCAGGGGTCAATCAGCATCAATATGGAGCTCCGTATCAGCAACCTGTGGGGCTGCCTGCTGTAGAGCCCCAGCAACCACCGATGGCGAACCCGCCCCCCACGTCGCTGCAGTATCCAGGAGCACAACAAGGACCGATGTCGCAGTCATAGGTCCTACAACCATGGCAGCTGCCGGCGCAGTGGCCAGTGAATGGACAGTGGGGAGTACCACCTACTTCCAACATGCCACCACCAGCGAATCTTCCCCCGTGCCATCAAGTTGCATCGCACCAGGTCGGGTCAAGCGGTATGAACAATGCCTCCAGCAGCAACGCAAGGAAAGGACCGGCTGCTAACGAGTTCCCAGGCCCGGGCAACAGGGCGTATTTCACCAAAGAGTACATGGACATTTTAGAAGATATAAAGATGAACAAGGTGGTGGACGAGGCCAGGAAGAGGTTCTCCGACAATGGGCGGAACACCCTGCGTATCCAGGAACTACCCGATGAGGACAATCGCTCTGATATGCGATCGACCGAGAAAGGAAAATCTGCTGACAAGAGTGAGGAGATGAAAGCCTGGGTCACATCTACGTTTGGAAACTCACTCAAACTCATCACAGAGAAGCTGCAGGAAGTGGACCAGAAGGTGAAGATCACCGCAGTGGACCAAGCTGAACTGGTTAGACTGCGGGAGGAGAGAGCGGCATTGGAGAGAATGGCATCGGAGAATGAGTGCAAGGAACTCTCGAGCAGTGAGAAGCGTAAACGAGGAGGCGAGCGTACACCGGTCAGCCACTCGCCACGTGTCAATCGAGTGAGATCTCACGGGAGCAAGACAAAACCAAGAACGAAGCGCATCGACGTCTCGTCTGACGATGAAGATTGTAAGGTTGGTGCAGTCAAGCAGAATTTCCAGCCAAAGATGGAGACTAGCAGCGAGTTGTCCGACATCAAGGCAATGCTAGCTGCACTGTTGCAGGGCTTCGCCGATGTCAAGCGTAAGGTCCCTGCCAGGGAACATGCACCAGCGGTGGTACCAGGTGACGAGACGCAAGAAGAGGAGGAGGATGTCGACACTGTCCCAAATGCTACGAACAAGGAGGATGAAGAAGAAAGCGATGAGGGTGGGATAGCGGCGTACATGAAGATGAGGCGGGAGTTTTATCACTCACTGCATTACACTCGTGTTCAGGAGCTATGCAAGCAGAAGAGTATCCCGTATTTCAAGAAAGACTTGGGTGCGTGGGAACTGTCCAAGCTTGATCTGCAGGAGTATGTGGACATGTTGAAGGAGGACAAGCCTGCCAAGGTGGCTGAAGCTTCATCAACGAAGACCGAAGTACGGACGGCGGACGGAACTGAAAAGACGGCCGCGTCTGAGAACCCCATCAAGGGAAACTGATCAGTGGCAGCATCCGATCGAAGCGCCGTGCGATTAACTGCATCGTGAAACTGAAGCGGAAGGTGAACAGCTCAGTACGTCTATTACTAGAAAAACTACACGTACTTATTATCCTTCTCGCTTGTCTTGCAGGGGAAATAGCGTGGGGGCAGTGCTTATCTTCGGTTTTGGTTAAGGGTCCCACCTGAAAAGTGAGATTTGTTGCTTGATGGAAAAAGTTGCGTGTACGTCCTTATGTCGGTGTCCCATATAGCAGTTTACGTCAGAAAAACTTCTCGCTCGTTGCGTGAACGATGGCTTGAGCACTGCAGAGCTGCCAAAGGGGTTAGTAGGCAGAAAGTGCATGTTTGGATGAATAAAGTTGGCATAGGACATTATGTTTCGATACCTGTGTAGTTTGGTGATGCAACCGTAATTGACCATGTGAAGCAAGTTATAATCAAAGACTGTAATCCAGGGTTAAATGCTCGAGGGGTTAAGAGTCGTAAGTGGCGCAGAGCGAGGGGTACGAAGGGGAAGAAGAGGACCGGGAAACAGGTAGGCTGTATGCCTGCCCAGGTTGTTGAGCCTTTGTTCTTTAGTTGCTCAAAAGTTGGGATTGTGAATGATCCAGACTTACTGAAGATTCTTAAATTAAGCAGGAAAGGCAAGGGAAAGAAGCGTGCTGTGATTTCCAATAAGCCTGGAGGGAGATGGTTGAAGTCCTGGCGTCTGGTCTCCCTATTGTTCGGGTTTTCCAAGGTTAAGTGTCAGGGTAGTAAACTACTACTTAAGGATGCGAAGGCTTACATTCAAATGGGTGGGGAAATGCTTGTCTGCAGCTTGGTACGAACGGTCACTAAAACCGACCTGCTGAAACAGGATTTAATTGCTCTCCTTCGTGCGCCCTGGAAGTGTCGTGACCTGTACAAAAGGCAGTTAACTGAGCTGATCGATTTAAATAATGCGGTTAAAAACAGTAAACCAGCCCAGGGGACGACAAATAATCAGAGGAATTCTGACCACAGTCTTCAAGAATAAATTCGGACTCAATCCTCGTGCAAAGATTACGATTAAAATTCCTTTTTGTATGACTATAGACAAGAAAAAAGTAGAGATGGAAGTAAAGAAGTGGATTTTGGATAAGGTCCAACCAACCGAGCTAGGTGACTTGTATGCTAGGAGAACCAGGGTTGTCCGGCTGAAGGCTAGATCTGTGGCTGACCTCCTGCGTAATCAGAAATCCTTTGCACGGCAGGCTCGCTTCGAGTGTGCTTGTGCTGATTTTGAACTGCCCAAGATGGACGGGCATATGACAGTCAAACTTAGTACGGTTGAGGGGATACATCCCTTTCTCTTCAACTCCAAAAATGTACCCTTTCCTGGTTTCGTAGCTTCTAGGGAAGATCTGAATCAGGCCTGCAATGATGCACTTGTGTGTCTCCGTGATATGGGCGTTGTGTCCAAGCAAATGCAGTGTGACCTCTCACGAGTTTCTAAATCAAGTGAGCGTATAATGGAGGGCTGTGTTCTGACCGAGTACGCAAAAGGGGTAAAACAAGCCTTTGTCGGACTTGTTCTCTCCCCACTCCATCGGAACATCAGTGAAACATGGATTGAGTGCCCAGTACGATATGAGACCGGTCTAAAAATGATGTTTTTAGAAAACTTCAATTACGACGCAATCCCAGACACGAAGGATGGTGTTCTGACCAAAATGAAGACCGAATATGTGAACGCAGGTCTCAACGATATTGGTAAGTGGGACCAAAAGGGCGACTTACAACATGCATATATCCTCTCGAAAGAGGAGGATAGAGGTAAGAAACGAACCATCGTTCCCTCTTATCAGAGTGCATATAGGGCCGCCTCCGGCGTACTGTCAACAACTCTGAATGCTCTAATCCAGCAAACTAGAGAGCTGCACTTTAACCTTCGAACCATGAGTGATCTGAAAAAGGAAATATCAAGGATCAATAAGATGACTGAAGTCAGGGACGGGAGGTATGGGATTCAAACCCGCACTTAAGACATAAAGGAGATGTTCACTCAGCTTTCGCACGAGGAAATCAGGAACTTCAAGGTTGTGGCTTGGATCATTGGAGGCTTCGTTGCAAGGTCGGTAAAATGGATCTGGGTGAATACCCGGAAGAAGGCTGCTCACTTTCGTAAGTCGCAACTTCTCGCAAGGGGAAGCTGGCTGGAAGTCGGTGCGCCTGACAAAAATGATTTCACTAACAGAGTTTCAACTAGGGAATACATTTTTTCTGGTTTCTGACCAAGTACTCCGGCAACGGAAAGGCATCCCTATGAGCGGACGAGCGAGCCCCCCCCGCTCGTGTGCGTACTGTGTATGTACGCGGAAAACCAGTTTATCAAGAGTCTCGGCTCGGAGAGAGCATTGGTTATGGGCAAACGCTATATTGATGACCTACTGATTATCCCGTTATTCCAAAGGGAGGATCCTGAGGCAAGAGAGAAGACCCAACAGAGGTTGGACTGTGTTACGCATTGTTACCCCGAAGGCTTGATTTTGGAACGCACAGACCCTGGGATCGGTATCTTGGATTTCTTGGAAACCAGGATTATCATCTGCGACGACCAGATGATTCTCATGACGCATAAGTTCAAAAATGCTGAGTCGGTGTGGAGCACTGGACCATTGCGTTTTCAGACGTATAAGAATTTATCGTCGTATGGCCCAAGAACATCGAATTTTGCCACGATTGCGAATACCATACAACGCATTAAGCAAAATTCAAACAACGAGGGATTGACGTGCTGTAATGTTCTCACCCTGTGTGAGGAACCAAGGAAACACAACTATCCTGGGAAGGTTGCTGTTGTTGGCCTGCGATGGATGCAGCGCCGAGTTAAAACACCCTTCTGGGAAGGGCTACTACGGGTGGTTAAATATTTGTTTTCGGAAAGATAAAACCCCAGCGGCCCTCATGAAGGCCGTACTGGGGGTGACGGTTGTCCCCTGCAAAGCCAGTGACGCATAAACAAGATCTGCTCCGGTACGGACTATGGTATATCTAATTCCTAGCTCGAGTCACGACATTTCGAACTGCGGAACAGATTCATGACGGACTGTGCAGCGTTGTTCAGTCGGAGAACAGCGCAGAGTCACCTTTTGAAGCTACGCAGGGCTTGAGTTTGTGGTATGCACCAAACCAGGAAAGTGGTAAATGGGAGGAGGTAACTAGTCCCGGTGGGATACCGCCGGTAACACGGCCATTATTTTGATTTTTGTCCCTTATGCCTCTCATTATGGCTACGATTCCCGCTAGAGGTAAAACGTGGCGGATCGGCGCAGGAAGAAGGTTCTACTGTGCAATTTGTACAGTAGTTCCTTCCCTGGATTACTTTTTTGGTCTTTGAATTTTTTTTTTTGGAAATCTTACGTGATTAATTAATTAATTGAATTAGGGAATAAGGGGAGTACGGAAGTATATAAGGTAGGGGGAGTAGAGTAGGAACTTACCTCAGTCTGAGTGGCAAATGAGTAGAAGGATTGAGAACCTCGACAGTGTGAAGTTGGGGAGATGCTGGGAGGATGGTGATTTCGCCATGATAGTAAAACTCATGTCACCTTCTTCTTTATTGTGTTCCATTTGTGATTCTTGAGGACACAGAAAGGCTGGACGATGGCTGGCTTGGACAGAAGTGGCAATGACAAACCAGCGTCTCCAATCCAATTGGTCGAGGGGCTCTCCAAAGTTAGAGAATCGATAGGAAGGTGCTATGATGAGGGAATTTGCCCGGATGATGTCAACTTGGGCAGGTAGTGGTAAACGAGGAAGGGAAACACTTCGTGGTAGATGAAGTAGTTAACGAAATCAAAGAACAATGGCTGAGGGAGAGATCCATTATTATCATCTTTCAAGGCGAAGCAAGGAACCTCGCAGGAACGGTTAAGGAAGAACTCATCCGAGCATGTGAGGATGAATGGACGGCGAAGCGCTTTTTCCAGCCTTAAGCTCGTAGGGGTAGAGTAAAGTTTGAAGGCCCTAATGTGGCCTCATATGTGGCCAAGGAGAAGAAAATAGTTGTTTGGCTGATCCAACAAAAGGAACCGTTGATAAATGCACAGTGGCGGATTCATCACCAACAAGTGCAACGAGTGTCACTGAGCGGTCACAGCGATCAAGGACAGTACAGAGAAGATCCACATTGGGTCCAACAAAGTTGGAATAAGTGGAATGGCGAGCCTGCCCCTGACTCATGACCTTCCCTGATGCCTCCCTGGCTCCCTGGGAGTGACTGGCTAGGAGGGGGGTACGAAGGTAGACTAATCAACGGTCAAATGCCAGGTAGAAGTTTACAAGGCCCAACGGGCAGCGGTTTGTCAGGTACAACGATATACCACCCCTGGCAGGACCAGCAACAGAACCAGTATCAAGCAGAACCAACTTATGAAGGTGACGTCCACTTACCAAGAGTACTGTACCACGATGCTGCAGGCACAGGCTGGAACATCCTAAGCCGAGATACCCCTCAGACTCCTATGATTGGGGGAGTCTGGCTCCATAGGCACTGAGTAGAGACCTCCCATCTCTGGACTTCTCCAGACGAGACGGGAGAGGAAGTTCAAACAGAATCCGCTCGAGGGCAAACAATGCTAGATGGGATGCATGGAAGGAAGAATCTCAGAGAAATAGGGGTGACCCCACCCAGCCATGGAGGGAAAGCAATCAAGGTCCTAAACCAAGGGTAATATGCAACGAAGAGTCAGCAAGGGGAGGGACACCTAGACAGCCAGCGGGAGAGGGCACAATTCAGGAAGAACTCTCAAAGACTTATGTTACATTACGTTCCAGAGTAAAGTGGGGAAGTGAGTGCTGCGAAGAGGAGAGGACCGCCTCTGATGAATCCTCATCTATGGAGAGCTCGGCGGCATCTGGGCAGAGGATTCGAGACAGGCAAGAAGTGGAGAGCCGCAAAATCCCTGACAAAAGCCGCAGAGCAGACACATTAGACAGAAATAGGATGGAATTTGTGCAAAGGAATCTGGTGCCATTGGTATGCACTAGATTGACCGAAGGGGTCTGTTTTCTAGCTCT